ACTATAACAAAACATTGAATATAAGACATCAGTAAGTACATATTATTATCTAGTTTTTCAATACTTCGAAACTAACTAAGGTACTTACTATCGTTTGATGGTATAGATTCTAATATTTCAGTAATGAGGTTTGGTTCGTTGAGGCGCAATGCCATCATTAATGCTGGGAAATTAATATTTAAAAATTTAATAGTTGAAAATACACACAATTATAAATCCAACTCACCTGACGCATACTCTTTTTTATGCAAAGTATCTTTTGTTGTCTTTGTTGTTATTCCTAGTTCCAAAAGAAAGGGGTCAAATATGAACCCATTATTAAGTGAATATACCAAGACACCTTCTGTAGTAGCAGCTGACCAAGATAAACCTAATTAAAAAGTAATGATAGAAATGTCTTTAAAAAAAAATAGTTCATATAGTTTATTACCTGTTGGTGAAAACTTGACATCAAAAACATTAACTTCTGGCTTAAATGTTCTTGCTGCCAAATCACCTTTATGCACACCAGGCAATTTTAATTTTACATTTCCCCCTTCTCTTGTTTCACGTTCTTCAATTAGATCTATGTTCCCAAATTCTGTCATTTTACGCCGGTTGACAACATCCTAATATTATAATATACATAATATATCAATATATTATAATTAAATTGTATATCTTATGTTTAAGTTACTCACAAGTACAGCATCAAATGATTGGTTTTGTGTAATCTCAAATTTTTTCAATAAAATACCTTCAGCAACATTATAAATACAAACATTTTTGGACTGGCCCCCAGCAATAACAAACTGTCCATCAGCTGAATAACAAACTGAGTTAAATGCCCTATAGAAAAATAAACACTCTTATTTGGTATAACAAAATATAAGAATATACAATGTTTTGAAGTATAGTCATGTTAAAGTATGGGCTTTATGGTTGATAACTACTACTGAAAAATTGCCATTTGGCACATGACAAACTAAGTAGATTTTTTGTGTCCACAACTGTAGTTGCACAAATGGTAGTTAATGGGTCCAGGTAAATGGTTGGGTAGTTATCAAGCAGATTCTGGCATCCTACACATAGGTACCTATGTGGCTGATTATTGATCAATATTTAACTATAAAAGGAATATTGTTATACTTTGCTTGAAGATTCTTTTTAGCGGTTATGAGATCTGTATCTGTTCTCCCACTTCCAAGATCATTTCTGCCCTCAATGCTCGCAACTTGAGTTGAAGTACGCACATCAAAAAATAATAATTGGCCGTCCAACGTAGCAACAACTACTTCTTTTCCATCAGGACGAAATGCAACACATAAACCTAAGTAATATGAATGTTAGGTCTATAAATACCCATTTTGTACAACAACATAATAAATATATTAATTACCATCAGCAAACAGTTGAATAGTTTCATGATCAGATGCATTTTCCACAGCATTCCAAATACGCAATGTCTTATCCCAACTGACAGTTATCAGCGTAGTACTAGAAATTATGGGACTAAATTCTAAGCTTACTATTGGACCTTCGTGTCCTGACAAAACCTAAAATAATATTAATTAATTAACTGTTGTTATGTATTTAGTTTTCAGTATTTTATATATAATTACTTCTAAAAGTTTGCCAATTTTCATGGACCATAGGTATGCTTCAAAAACATCTTGTCCGCCAGCTGCTATAAACTCTCCAGTAGAGTCAATAGACACACAACTGAATTGCACTGGTCGAGGGGATACAAATGTTTTGAAGTTGCGGTATCTAAGAAAAAAATTGATAGCACATAATACTATAATAGTATAAAACTATTCATGAACAAATTGTTACCTTGTAAGATCAAAAGCACGGACTGTACCATCCAGAGATGCAGATACGATAAATTTTTTGTTGGGAGCAAATACTATGTCAGTAACAGTACTTGTATGTTCTGAGAACGTAACAAAGCAAAATCCTGATTGGTTATTCCATAATTTTACCTAAAAATAAAATTATATATTATAAGAATTTTAAGAGAATATTATGATTGCCCAAAATTTATTGTATCTGTCATGGACATAAAATATTTTTTCAAGTCATCAATCAATTACTTTTCCATCTTCACCACCAGTAGCTATATACACAGAGTCACCTGAGTATGTCAAACAAGATACTTCAGAACCATGAGCCTGTTGTTTCATAACATATGTTTCACTTTGCCATTCCCAAACCAATAATTGACCATGTCCTTTACAGCCAATTGCGATCCAATCTCCAGCATTATTCAAAACTATTGTACTAATACTGGTTTCTGAAATACTAACAAGATAAATCAATAAATAATGTTTAAAGATAAAATGAAAGTTAACCAACTTTAAAGAGTGAATAAGTGATTTCCCGACCGTCTCAAAAATTAAAAATGATCCGTTTGAGAAACCAGTTACAAGGATTTTGACCTTTTTATGATAATCAGCAGCAGTCATTTTCAAATTGTTATGTTCATCTTTAATATAGTCATTGAGAAAATGTGTTGATAACTTACGGTAACTCAATAAATGTTTACTATCTATCTTTGCTTGTTTTTGGTTATATTTTTCTAAAATAATATCAAATACAATATCAAAAAAACTTGTTAATTTTTATATTTAATTTTCTACTAAGTACCTTCTTTATTAATTACATAACGTTCTCTGTCTTCTCCTTTGGATAAATCAATTTCATCTTCTTCATCATCATTTAATTTCAATCGTTTAATATTGGTTGATTCAATAGTAGCCATTTGATTTAAAAATAGTGAACATTGCCAAATAGATAAATGGCCATTTCTGAAATTTGAATTCCAAGAATTAGCTTATGTATAAAATACTTTAAAATTTAATAACATACCGGGAGACAACCATTAAGTCCAACGAATTTTCTTCAAAAAATATTCCAACAATAGTATCCGGATGTCCAGTTAAAGAATATGGTCGAAAATTTGAGTAATTTCCAATTGTATACAGCCTCACAGTAGCATCCTTACTGCCTACTGCAAAAATACTGAAAAATTGAAAGAATATGTATTATGTTGGTGTCATAAGTTTATAGTATAGGAAAGGTTTTGGTTACACTAGGGAAAGTTCTTATTAGGTAAGCAGACAGCTGTCAAATACTTTAGGCATGCAACCATAACAAATTTGTAAAATAAAGTGGTTTGATGAAAAATTAGTGATATGTACCCATACAATTATACACAATACTAACATTAACTGACAATTTGTAAGTAAGGTTTTTTTAATTCAAAAGTTTTGTTACAATCATATTTTATATTATGCAGAAATATTAAAAGTTTTATAATATACCTTGAATCGTCGGTCCATGCAACATATGTGGTATCCCCAAGAATATCTCTGAAAACTCGTTCCAATGCAAACTGATTGAACTGTCCAATAAAATGACCAGGTGTTTGCAATATAAAAACTGAAAACAGACTTAATGTTACACTTCAAACTTCATACAAGTAAATTTTTAAAGTGAATACATTCACTTGTACCAAATAGATAACTTACTTTTATTGAGCTTACAAGCAGCTATATGCTTTCCATCAGGACTAAATCTCAGGTGAAGTACTCGTTCATTGAAACGGTACTTGTGAATCACTCTATTGCTTACTAAACTGATTAAATCCGCTTCTCCAACTAGGAACAGGAAATATAATTAATATACAAGTCTTTTTAGGTTTTTAAATATATTTACAATACCTTCATTTACAGCAAACAAAAGATTGCCGTCTGGTGACAGAGCTATTTGTTCATAATTGTGTGAGCTTTCCACTGGTAGTGTAAACGATGTATTACTAAAATGAGATTCAAATTACATGTCATTCTGAGAAACACAATAAGTGAATTATGGAGATTATAATATTATACTTCTTCAGATCAAATTTTGATATCCGATTTCCCACTGGACTGATGACTGAATTTCCATCTGGTGTGAAAATTAAATTTCCCTCGCGATAAACTGTTCCAAGAACGTTGGAAAACTAAATCAGAAAAAACCATAAAAACGTTTAAAAAAATTATTATATTATAATATTAGATTACTTAAACTAGTGTATACCTTGTAATTAAATCTCATCGTACACCGTACGACAACCAAGATAGGTAGTGAATAATAATGTTATAATAATTAGAAAATAAAAATTTTAATATTACACCAATTTGTATTTTGTATACAATTAGGTAAGCGGCACAAATTAACTACAAACAAAAACTATGCCAGATGGCTATCATAATTCACATTACACAGGGACTAATGGACAAACTGCTACACAGCCGCGGTAAGCAGCAGCCAGTAAGCACGTGGATAGAATGCTGTTATCAGCATTATCGTAACATTAATCAACAATCACTTATCAATGTTTATTTATTGCGTTATCAATTTCCCAGTTTGGCGCACGATTTAAGATAGTAGTATCTTAAATCGTGGTTACTGGTTTGGCGTCCTTTCACCATTCTATTCTAGTATTCTGTGCTTTCTGAGTTTCTCGAATGTATTCAACATCTCAATGTCAAATGTCAATCACGACAATCAGTCTGCAGTCGCCAGTCAGTCACATGTGATTTACACACTAGATATCACCCTAATCTATAACATGTATTTATGTACATGATCTAATTATTTAGTTAGTTACTATATAGTTATAGTTATAATATCATGACTAATACTATCACAGAACAACTGCTACTACCTTAGTCCGCGTTTTATTTATTTGTTGAGTTATTTTTCAAATTCTCAAATAAAACATGAAGTAATTATTGAATTTCTGCACGATTTATGGTTTTTTTTATACCAGGTAAATGCTTTGAATAGTATTATTAAATGTACCTAATGTTTTGTAAAACTTTTAAGAAATAGTTAAGATTTAAAATAATAGTAAAAAAATAAATGAGAAGAGTTATGGTTTTATTTTTTAATACCTAAAAAATGCTCTGTATCCTAAACTGCTTTCAAAATATTTTAACTTTAATTATTATTTATAGATCCAATCCATTATCATGTTACGCAGATCAAAACGTATTTGCAAGTCAAAAGTAACTGATGCTGTTCCTGTGGAAGATAATTCCGATGAACCCCCAATCAAACGTAAACGTGATCATCGACTAGACGTTTCTGTTAAGGATTCAACAACTGAAGATGACAGTTCTGGAGATGAATTTGTGCCAACTGAAAATACTTCTATAAAAAGTTCTTGTACTTTAAATTTATCAGAATCGGACAGCGATAATGATGCTCAAGACTCTAACAAGACTGATGCGAAAGCATTGGAACAGTCTGATACTGAAAGTGAAGTTGATGACAATGTTTGTCAAACAAATTTTGATTTCAACACTCTTTTAAAACCTCAAGATACCACAGAACTTTCCAAAAGTGATGTGAAATCTGAGACTGTTGACACCCTTGTGGAAAATGGTCTTTATGATAATATGGATGTTGCTAAAATCTTATCTGTGGGAGAAGGAGTTAATTTAGGAACAGTTTTAAATAATGTTGATGATACTGTAGAAGAGGAGATGAAACGCGATGATAACTATACTATTCCTGAAATGGTTGAAATCACTGTTAAACTTCCCAATGATATGAAGTGTAAAAAAGGTCAAGATATGGAAAATATTCTCAGGAGACGTATGAATACAATATGTAAAGATACTCAAGTTTTAATTCATAAAGTAAATCTTCTCTTATGGATATCTTATGGGAATCGGTTGAACAGTGTTCTTAATTCACCAGAAGTCATGGGATCAGCATTGTCTCTAGTACCTTCTAAAAAGGCATATCCACCAAAGCAATGTGATTTGAATTATTTAGAAAATTATATAAAATGGTTTTCTAAAAAAATTAAAATATCTTCAAAAACCGATCCATTATGTGAAATAAATGTATTATCTTTGACAGATCGGTTTTCAAGATGTGAAGCTAAAACAAGATATGAACTGATTGCAATGTTTATTTCTATGTTGAGATCATTAGGATTGAATGTACGGTTAGTGATAAATTTAAATGCTGTCTCAATCAAACCAAGTTCTGAACAATTATTGGGTCCTTTAGTAGATGATGATCATAATATTATGAAACCATCTTGTAGTAAATCTATTGAAGATAATAAAAAGAAAACTCCGTCAAAATCAGAATATTTTGATAAAAAATCAAGCAAACTTGGAAATAGTAAAAAAGGACTTGAAACGAAAAATTCTAAAATAGATAGTAAAAAAAAAAAACCCAAAGGTAGTAAAATTGTGTATGAAAATATTTCTTCAAGTGATACGGAAGATGAGATTTTTGTAAAAAGCAAAAAAAGTGCTAAATCTGAGTATTTTAATAAAACATCAAACAAATCACAATCTGATTCAAAAAAATTAAAATCTGTAAATGCCAATAAAAAAGTAACAAAAAAAAATGCCAAAATAAGTGAAAAAATCGATCGCCGTGTTCTTTCAACTGATGAAGAAGACCATACAACACAGAATAGTGAAACAGTTGCTAAAAAAAAAGTGAAAAATGACTTTTGGGTGGAAGTATTTCTGGAAATGGAAGAAAAATGGTTTTCTGTGGATGTTATTGGTCAGCGTATACATTGCATCAAAGAAATATATGTTAGTTGAATTATAAATTATAGACAACATTAGTATTTATACGTATTGGAATATTTTATAGTAGTGTAGATTTTTTTATTTTATTACTTTTAATAAGGAGTATTTTATTTTTACAGTAATTACACAAATGATTGAAATACTCCACTATATATTATAATTTTTTTAAATTTTGTTCTTTATAGAGTGGTACATCTCATCCTATGCGTTATGTTTTGGCTTGGTATAATGACAATAGTATTAAAGATATTACAAAACGATATGATCCATATTTTCATACACTAACACGAAAAATCCGAGTGGATCCTAAATGGTGGAAAGCTACTTTACGACCTTACACTCCAACAGGGTCAGCTAGAGAACGCGAGGAAGATGAAGAACTAAATAAACAATTGGAAGAAATACCATTACCTAAAACGGTTTCTGAGTTAGTTAGATGATTATTTTTTATTAACATTTTACTGAAAGCACAGATTATATTATTATACTATCTGTGCTACAAGCATAATGTATTATTCATAGTTATCTTACTTAATACTATTAAAATGTTTGTTTAAGGTATAAAAACCATCCATTGTATGCCCTATCAAGACACTTGCTAAAATTTCAAGCCATATACCCGCCGGAACCACCAATTGTTGGACACGTTAGAAATGAACCAGTTTATTTACGAGAATATGTCCATGAGCTTAATGGTAGAGAAAACTGGCTAAAAGAAGCCCGTGTGGTTAAAATGGGGGAAAAATGGTATAAGCAAGTTAAAGCACGTCCTAGATTTGATCGGGTTAGTTCCTTGTTAAATATCATAAATCTAATTCTATTAATAATTATTTATGTTACAGAATGGTGTGCGAACAGATCCTCCACCATTAGAATTGTTCGGTTATTGGCAAACTGAACCTTACGATCCTCCAACTGCTACTAATGGTCAAGTTCCTAGAAATTGTTATGGCAATGTTGATTTATTTAAACCTTGCATGTTACCCAAAGGAACTGTTCATCTTCAACGTATGCATAAAAATAAGACTTATATAAGTTGTTACTTGTAACTCATCAATATATTAATTTGTTATCATTTTTAATTTTAGTGCCTGGGTTACTGCGTGTAGCGAAAAAACTAAACATTGATTGTGCTCCTGCAGTTATAGGTTTTGACTTTCACGCAGGTGGTTCCCATCCAGTAAATGACGGTTTTGTAGTATGCGAAGAGTATAAGGACACTTTAATAGATGCATGGAACCAAGAACTTGAAGAAAGCCGTAAGCGAGAGCAAAAAAGATATGAAGATAGAGTTTATGGTAATTGGAAACGATTAGTAAGAGCTCTTCTTATTCGTGAACGATTGAAAATCAAATACAATTATTTTGGAGGTGATAAAGAAGGACAGTCTACTTCTAAGACAACTGATAGTAAAAAATAAAATCTATTATGTTAGTATATTTAATTATGTTAAATTAAATCTATATCTTGTACGTTTCAATAGTCATTAGTATTTAATTTCAACAGTATTATTATTTATTAATGTTATTTTGGTTGTTTTGTAAAATTGTATTTATATTGTGGTCCTTTGTAATGAATATTTTTTTTAATATTTTGTTGTTTATAATGTTTCTTTTAATTAGAATGAATAAATAATAATAATAATTATAGTAAAATATAATTTTAAAAAACATATATTTTTGGTATACAATTATTGTGTCCACCTAGTACCTATTAAAGTAGCAGATTTTGTATTAGTATACAATTTTGGGCAAAATGTAAAGATTAGAGTATTAGTATATTATGTAGTATTGTAGTTGTACCTATTGAGTATTGACTAGAGAGTAATGACTAATGAAAGTCAGCATTGAGCTATTAATACTCAACAGTCAACGCAAATAGTGTTTATTTAATTCTTCTGTTAAACAAAACAAAATTAAAATATATTTATCATAACTGACAAACTCTACTAAGATGATTCAAAATGCAAAAATATTCTTAAAATTTTTTTTTTTTAATTACGTCAACATTTAAAATTATTTTAACTTAAAACATTGTAAGAAAATTATATTAACTAAAATTTCCAGTATTATGAAGCTATTATGTTTTCAGATATGAAACTGATAAAATATTGCTGGGTCTATTTAGGGACCATTTAGGGCTTTACAATTTTTATAATAGGTATTTTTACAGTAAATCGCTTCGTTCTTATGCCATATATTTTTATTCACTAGTGCGTCTTCTTAACTACTTATGTAATTCATAATAAATTATTCGATAATCAAAAAAAAAAAAAGAATATCATGTCATGGGAAGGGAGAATTGTATTCAATAAGCAATTTTGATAGTTACTTTCAGTTTGACAATGCCGCATGCGCCCTTATTCGAGTTGTTCGTTGTGATAATTGATCACAGTGGCTTTTTGTGGCACGGTGGTTGGCTTCAGTCCTAAAACGTGTTCTGAAGTTAAACATCAGCCGGTGCTACTAGTTGGGTGCCCAACCGGATTCTAGTGGCGACAAATCCTCGTCACATATACACACCGTACCCTAAACCACAGTTAAAAACCAACTAAAAACTAATCACCCAATGAGCGGCAATAGCCTATGTTGCCTAGGGTTAAAGGACATCACAACACTAATTATTTAGTTTTTAATTTTAAGTTTATTGGTGTATTATTGTATAGTTAAAATAACAAAAAATTGAAAACACATCAAACACAAATACACGATACAATAAATTCTAAATAACTGTCGGAAGAATTTCGTGTGGAAAGTAGAACACGTATTTTCCTATGAAGAACACCTGTGAATAATCATAGACGGCTGATGTGCGTCTAAATAGGGGCCCAATACCTATACGATAAATTGTATATTTGTATTGTATAAATAACATATCATTTACCGTGTATTGATGACATTGAAGGAGTGTTTAATATTATATTGAAAATATCAAAACCATTTTGATATTTATTTATGAATATAATAGTTATCGTTGAGATACTAAAATCGATCGCAACATCGTGTATCGGCTCTTAAAGGGAGGGTGGGCTCCAGCGTATCATGTTTTAAGGAGTAATACTTAGGAAATTCACACGACATGTACATTTCGTCATTGATTATAAATACTAGTATTTTATAATCAATGATTTCGGCTATGACATTGTGTGAATTGTTATAAAAATGGACATTAGACATTAATGTGTGTTTCCGAGAGTCACTGTAATGTAGCGTCGGGCAACCATCGATGGATGCAACTCTAGCACGTACATGTCGATACTTCGCAAAAAATGAAATATATTCTTGTTTGCAGCATAACTATAAAAACTACTAAAAGCGGTAGTATCTACATTAAACATAGGTATGTACTTCCTGAAGTTCGAAAAAATGGTTGAATTTATAAGCTTCAAGACTATACAGCTGATCTTCAGGTATCACTTTTTTCATTTTTCATTTAAAATGAGATGCACCCGAAATAAATACGACAATTGCAACGAAATTATTTCATGGGGTTTTTGAAAAAAATCTTAATTTTAAGGTCCTTTAAAATCGAAAATTGACTTCCTAAAAAGCCTACATATTTTGTAAAAGAGTTCATACATGTATAAAAAATTAAAATCGGACACTCCAAAGTACCTACGTGTAATTTACCACCGCACTAATTAGTCGCACTTATAAAACGTATAAAAAATACGCGTATGCTGCGATCACCTTAAAGATATCTTAAGGTTTAAATATGTCTCAACCTTATTTTTATGGACTGTATAACAATTTGATTAGAGCATCTTTGGGCTAGACCAGAGTGCAACATCTGGTTATGTTATATACAATAGTACATTAGTACATGTGTGGACGCGTACTGTTAGTCCGGTGCTTCGAGAGCGACGAATTGACGCCTCCGGCAAGTATAATCCGCAGAAAACTTGTTCGTCGGAAACTTGGGCCATGTCCACATTATTATACCGTAGTAGGTAAACCAGTATATTACAATAGAATACTAGAATGCCTTCTAGACTATTGTTTCGCCGGCATATCATAATCGCATTGTAAGCTCATCATATTGGACCCATATACCTATATAGGAACCTAACCTCGAGGAAGGCAATGAAACGAAAACGATTTGATCCGGAAATGTTGGGAATCGCGGGATATTCGGTCGCAAAAGTTTTGAGGATGACTGATGAGCCGACCAACCTGCAGAAAATATCGCTCACCAATGGCCGATCGACAGTCGTCTCTGCCGAATTCGTCGAATATACACAAGCCTATTCCTATTGACAGTGCCCATAGAGGTATTAAAACTGTGTGTCACGGCTCCCAGGGGCGTCTCGAGAGATGGCGAAGGGAGCCGTGTCTGGAAACCAAAATTAAGTAGGACATGTATAAAATTTATAATATCAATATTATTTATAGTGATTAAAGCGATTATAGAAATTGTAATGAAACACATAACGCGACTATTTGAAATTTTATTTCAGCCATATTTTATCCGTTTTAATTTATTTAGAATTATAAAAACTATTAAAAAAAAAATAATAATAAACAAGTTTTCTCAATGTATTATCGTGGTGGTATAAACAAACGGTGGAGGGGGGGGGGGTCAGGTCTAAATCTAACCTCGCTGGAATGTCATTGAATTTGTCTAGATTTTTTTTGTTGAGTGTAGCTGAACACTCACTTTTTTGAATACAATTAAACATACTTCCAAAATTTAATATAGGTACCTTCATAGATACCAAGATACCCTCAATTCTAACATTTAAAGGTAATATATCCTTTCTACCTTTTTTCACCATATTATGTTTGTTCGAAAAATAACTATGAAATATGAAGATGCCAATCCTAATTTTTAAATAACAACTCGTATTTTATGTTTCATAATCTCATGACTGAACACTGAAGCAGAATACTTTTTTGAAAATGATTTTGTACAAATATCGAGTACCGGAGTACCTTTCCTATTGAACGAATAATGAATTAATACTTACTATTTAATATTCGAAAAGTGTAGTAAATTGGTAAGTTATAAACCTCAAAATGCGTGGTTTACTATACTCAATGATAATACATATACCTACAACTTACAAGTATTATATGTACAACACTAAGTCACTAACTAAACCTAAGCTTTAAATGGTTATTAAATAAAAAATATATACGTCCTATATTCTATATTCATATATCTACAGTTTTATAAAAGTGTTCTGCATCAAAAAAAAGAAATAGAACATAGTTGGCTTAAAAAAAAAAAAAAAAAACAATTGGTTCTATAAATAAATATAAAGGAGAATAATAAGAGCTGCTGTATAAAATATTGGATAGCGTGACAGTGTGTATCTTAATTTTTCAAAACAAATTGATTATTTAAAAAATTAAAAGCCTATATACTTTTGGAAATATTGAGGGTTTAGTGTCGAGATAATGACTCCGCGTCTGATACAGATTGTGATTGATGTTCAATCGAAAAATATAATTACATACATACCTAATTATTATGAATTATGATATTTAACTATTCAATTTGATGTATTATTAATTTGTATATATGTATATAGACATATAGTTGTATTTTATATCATATAGTTATTACTTATTACTGATTATACTTTTTTTATTAACTATTTTTAAGTATGCTGTAGCCCCGTCAGAAATTCCAGTGGTCAGATTTTTAAAATTAGTAAATAGTTCAAGCGTCATGCGATACTATTAGCCATATTGTCATACCTAGGTACCTCACTAAAATATAAACCACAAAATATTTTATGAAAGGTGCACCAGTGGCATCTATAGAAATAATTTTTGGGGTGGGCTATAGTAGACAGAAACTACCAAGTGATCTATTACTTAGAGGCTACCGTCTACTATATATTTAACAGTTTCTATAAATATATTCGTATCTGTTATTCAACAGGCTATGAAATATTATAACTTATAATAGTACCTAATAATAAATAAATTGTTGTTCTATTTAAAAAAACTGTAATTTCGGGGGGGGGGGGGGGGTGCAGCCCACTGGCCCACCCCCTATATACGCCACTGTCATGGTTCATGAGAAACAGCCTGGAAAAAAATAATTATTAAATTTTTTAAAAATCAGTTTAATACTTTAATTGGAAAAATAAATAATACCTATAAGTAAGGTAAATTTTTCCGAAAATTAACACAAGTTAAAATATAAGAGTGAAATTCTATTTTATCTAGAAAAGCAGCCCGTGTGTTTATGGGTTTTTTCAAAATAATGAGTGGGTTTATCCCAGAAAAGCAGCCCGGGTTTTTTATAATATCAAGTTGGTTTAACCCAGAAAAGCAGCCTGGGTTTTTGAAAATATCAAGCGGGTTTAACCCAGAAAAGCAGCCCTGGTTTTTTCGGGCTGGGCTTATTCATGCCAACACCTCACTCTTATTTTTTTAACTTGTGTTAATTTTCGGAAGAATTAATCTT